ATGATCGTGATCCCACTGCCAGGCAGTTCATGCCACAGTGGCCGGCAGCGTGCACGCTGTCGTTCTTTGCTGTCTGCGCATGAAGACGGGACGATCTAGCACAGCGACGGCTTCGCAGTAGTATTTAGGTGGTGTAGGAGGTGGTGTCTGCCACCGCTGAGCGGTTTCGTATCCAGTGCAGTCAGCAGTCGGCAGAGTCAGAAACAATGAATCAGCTCGAATCAGCTCGGTTGCATATTGCTGCTACTAGTTGACTAAGTAGACTTCCGGTCGGACACTTGCATCATGAGGTCGTCATTGAGCTGGAGCGACTACCGACAGGCCCGCCGCCCACGACTCACGTCGCCTAAACTAACCCCTAGGTGTGTCATAAACTAAACTCTACGAAAGTGAAATTCCAAATTCCAAACCACATGATTCTAAACCCTAATTCTTGGACAACCTGCGCATCCATAAACAAATAAACAAACCCCAAACTTGCTAAACCCAAGAACCCCCTTGACCACCTAAACACCTAAACTCTGTGAGTCAGGTGGGCTGAAACTGCAATCACCTGATTAGCTCCACTCGTGTCTATGTTACATTCACATTGTACATGCATATGGACAGGGATGATTGTCATGAAGCGGCATTGTTCTCAGTCTCGAGTCTCCATGTGATGCGGTCGAGCTTGAATAGTGGCGCTAGTCTCCGAATGAGTGCATCAGCGCAGCGAGCAATGCATCTGGAGTGAATGAGTGACCACAGTGCTGGTAATGTGATGTGCTTGTTTCCGCGTCCTAGCTTAGGTCAGATCTCGCCGAGACGATTGTCGTGAATCAGCAGCGTTCTCAGTGGTATCTGTGTGGGCTACGGGGGCAGTGGCGGCAGTGATATACTTACTTGTGGCATTGACGATTGACGTATGACGTATGTAGTTAGGGCAGATCCTCAGTGACAGTGCCTCCGTCCTTGGTTGTTGCGGCTCTGGCGTGCAAGGGTCTTTCAAATCTTCTCTAGCGGGCTTGCTGGTGGTTCAGGTTCAGGTTTTATCATGTTTTAACGTACAACATTTTCCAACTTTACAGGATGATCAGCTCCCGCCCAGTGATCCACCCTGGGCTTGGTCGTGGTAGGGGTAGGGCCCGGGCTGTCTGCGGCGACATGGATGATGCGTCTTCTGATACTGGTCACCGCGCGTCGCCTGCGTCTGGCACACCAGTCGGTGGTCTGCTGAGCCGAGCGCTGGGAGCTGCGCGCAGACATGAGTATCCGCCGGCCATACTCGACGCTATTCTTCGTCCCATGGATCATATGAATCATATGAGTCTGTCAGCAGTGGAGTCGGCGGAGGTTGTGCACCCCCCTCTGATGGCTGGATCAGGAATTGGTATACACTCGGCCAGCGGAGGTCATGACCACACGCCAGACGACGAGCTTGTGAGCTTGAGGTTGAGTCGTCGCAACAAAAAGGGACGCACCATGGAGGCTCGACCCTCCAAGGCGCCGCCCGCCGCTTCTTCAGCGGCGAACCAGTCCGCGAACTTGGTCGCCAAGGCCAAAGCCCCCACTTTAGCCACAGCCTCCGTGAAAAAGATGCGCACCACAGAGGCTCGACCCTCCATGGCACCACACATCGTTTATTCAGTGGCGAATCAGTCGGCGAACTTGGACGCCACGGTCCCCACTTCAGTATCCCTGTCGCGGCCTGCAACCGAGGTAGCAGCAGATCATGATGAATCCGAGGAGTCAGAGACAGAGATTGTTTGCTTCCCCAAGGGCGTTGGCAGTATGCCATCTTCGTCTGGCGCTGGACCTGATCAATCCGATGAAGCGGATTCAGAGTTCGGTTTTTACCCTGCAGGCTTGGGCATCGTGCAAGCTCCTGCCAGCGACAGAAACCACACGCCCAGCAAGACCAGAGCTTGCGCGAAGATGCTTGTCCGATCCGGGCTCCGTTGCTCATGCTGCTACAAGTTGCGAGCTCTCTGCCAGAAAATCATTGCCTTCATTCCTAGAGGTGTTGTCTCAACTGAGAGTAGTCTCAACTGTATCACTGCTGAGTCTGCTGAGTCCACTCAGGTCGGCGTGGCGACAGGTTCCGGCTCCAGCACAGGCCAGAACCTTTTTTCGCGAACGTGCCAGTGACAGTATTCTGCATGAGATGCATTTTGGATAGTGGTGCGCTAGGCTAGTCCGATAGTCTCAGGATTGTATACAGCATATGTGACTGAGCCGTGAGTTGTGTCACCGGTGTGATCGGAGTTCATGTGAACGATAATTGCAATTGCAGTGTGCTCAAGTGAGTCGACTTGCTGACGTCACCTCAAGTGACTTCCACTGGTGATGGCGTCGGAACCGGAGACAAGGATGGTTCTATGGGTCCCGGCCCCGGCAGCCGCCTTGGCTACGCCAGGGACACCAAGCACCTCAGGGACGGCGACACCCGCGCCACAGACTCCGATTACAGGCGGACCGCTGCCGGCATCGCTTGCCTATGGCCAGATGATCTGTGAGATGCCGAAGTGTGACGTGGTGATTCAACGAAATCCCAGCAAGTTGTGTGCTCAGTCTTTTCGGGCTGACCATTAGCGATCGTGCAGCAGTCATCGTGATTGTAATCTTGTATGCCACTTGTTAGTCACAGTTCCACCGCCCCACCGCCAGGCTCACCAACCTCTGCGCTAGCCACAGTTGCTCACGTACGGCTATGTACTCCCAAGCTGGGGGTGTGAGTGCACGCAGCGGCTCCCGTGGAGAAAGCCCGGCGGTGATTGCGCTGAAGCAGATGGAATCCACTAACAAAGATGAATTCCTCGGACATCTGGCGAAGTTCGCTGCAGAGCCGCCCGGAGAAATATTCACGCCGGTGGCATACGCACTACATAAGCAGTTGTGTGCTGCACGACACGCACGGTAACTACAGCCGACGCCGAGGACTGAGGCTGCAGGCGGTGGGGGAAGAGGCCGCCGTCGCAAGCAGTACGATTTCTCGGAGATCCTTAGCTCCACGACGGTGGGTGCCCGTCGGGAGACTGGTGGCCAGCGACGGCCTATGTGCTTGGAGGAGTTTGTCAAATACTACACGGAGGAATGTCCACCGTATCGCAGCAACCCGACTGAACAAGCGGTGCCAGTTCCAGTTAGCAGGCATGTTGTTTGGTCAGTTGAGTCGAGCATAAAGTCATACACAGGCATATCACAGTGTCCATAATCATACAGTCAAGTCACAGTCAAGTCATGCTATTCTGTGCAAACCTTCACAAGGACTCAACAAAAAAGCTGCAGAAGCAAAGTTCAACACTATGCTCGCGACTCCGGGTGTTCGGAGAGACTCTGTGGAAGCAGTGAACAATGAGGGCCATGACATTGGCACGGCCCGTGTTCTTCCCTGTCAGTTTATATACACACTCACAAAACACGGCGATGTTCATTCTGAAAGCCTATGATGACGTAGGGTGCATTAGACAGGTCTGGCGTGTTTGGGTCCACACCATCGAGATGGAAAACGCGTGGCAGTACCAGGCTGGCCGGAGTTATTCCTACCGTGCAGTCTTCTTCGTAGCAGCAGGGCCCAGCAGACTCATCTCACGTGTACTGGTACAACGTGGGTTGAGTTTGTGTAGTGCGTGACGCAACACAACTTGACTTATTGTTTGTGTCTCTCGGTTTCGTGACCTCTGCAGGACAACAGCGTCTCGCACAATTTGCGAAATGAAGCTCGCACACCGTCGGAGTTGCAGGTGGCCCAACACAAGGATCAGTTGGTTGCGGAAGCACAGGAAATGAAGATCGACCTTGAAGCGGATGATGATGGTGGCCTTCTTGCATTGCTTCCGCGAGGCAGTGCAGGCTCAGACACCCGAGCCATCACTAACAAACCGGCCGCGACGGCCAAGCCCAAGGCCAAAGGCGGTAGAGGAAGGCCCGGCCAAGGTTCATGTAGCATCCCGTTGGCAGCATCGAGATTCCGCAACAAGACGGCGAGGGACTACACCGATACAACTTCCCTGCTGCAGAAAGCTCATGGAACAGCGACACGCTTACTTGAGCAGGAGTCTTCAGATGGTGGCCTAGTCGATGCACCACTCGTGCCGCTGAAGAAAAGGCTTCATTTGCTGGACCTTGCATTGGCCCCTCGCGTGGACAAGCCGTCCGCAGATCAACAGAATGCGGACCTCCTTGCCGCAGCCGAGCAAGATCCCTATTTGGCCGACTTAAAGATAAACATCTTGCGTCAGGAGTCGTGCTGGACACTTGGCGTTCTGGCCTACACCCGGAACGTTGTGTTGGATCTGCAGCCGTCGATGGAGGCACTGACTGTCACTGACTGCTTGAGGTATTGCCATGTGTGCTCTTGTATGGGACTTTGTGAGATTGCGACTGCGAAGCACCGGGTGAGAGTCGGTGAGAGAGAGAGAGAGAGAGCGGTAGCGAGATTGAGAGATAGACAGAGTGAACTCAGCGAAATCCCTTTACCGTAGCCTTGGCGAGAGATATGATAGTGATAGGTACGTGAACCGTGACAAGTACAGTCCAGTGCAGCTGGCGTGTGGTGTCAGTGTCAGTGCGGGATTCAGAATAGGCAGCGTTGATTTGTTGATCCATTGGTCATGCGTCTAGTTTATGCATGCCTCCAGGAATTGGACACCCTGACCGAGCACTGCCTGAATGCCAATGCTCTGCTGAAGAAGATGGGTCAGTGCGTTCAGCGAGAAGCCGAACAGTGGAAGGTTGATATGGTGGCCCTTCGCAAGGCAGTCATTTGGGGTGGGTGCATCAGAACGGTTGACCAACAGCCAGAGTCATAGGCATGGCATGGCATGTAGCCAGCAGTACCATATGTTTATGGTGGGTGGATCAATGGATCCAGTGAATCCAGTGGATCCCAAAGCAGAAAGTGGTGAGATTGGACTTCGAACTTCGGACATAGTGAACACATATATATATATAAATGATATTTATCGTTGGTTGGGTAAGAGAGAATGGCTGTGCACGGTGTTGAACTGCCCGCATGTCAGGCACGAGATCAGGAGATAAAGACGGAGAAAAAGATTGAAGAGAAGCTTGCCGCACAGCAGGCTCAGCGGAAGAAGCGAGAGGAGGAGAAGCAAAAGAAGCAGCAGAAGAAAGACGCGGAGCAGAAGGCGAAGCAGGAGAAGGCAGCGCAGGCGGTCGCCAACGACGGCGACACCAAGCCTGATGGATCAGACGCGGCTGCTGGCAACCGTCGCCGGCGAAAACGGCGCACCGGGGATGATATGCAGGCAACTGATCCCCTCGTCTTGCGTGAAAGCTGCAACTTTGATGCCGCAATGTATGACTTCGACAAGTGCGCCGATGTGAACGAGTTTGCCAAGGCTGTGGCTACGGCTCCACTTGTGCCACACATTTGCCGCTTGAAGAGAGGCATGCTGAAGAAAGTACTTCAGGCCGGTTGCTCATATCATGAATCATGAGTCACATGCCCGAAACTCCGTGTACCATTCCTTCCATGGTTCATTTTTTGTTGTTCGGGGTTCGGAGGCAGTGGCTGATGTCACGGGCGGTGGCGGGAACGTGAACACTCTGCTCAAGAACATCAACCAGGACTACACCGAATTCTCCGCACGATGTCGGGAGCGACTGAGCCCAGAAGCCCTAAGCGCACCGCAAGCACCAGATCGACTGTCGTTGTCGGCGGCTGGCCCGGGCAGCTCGTTCGGCATGGACATGCTGATCCAGACGCGGATGGATGAATCACAACAGCTCGACGAAGACGGCAAGCTGCAGCACATGGTTTTCGATCGTGATGAGGTGGCCCGAAGGCACCAGCCGGGAAACCACGCGTTCTACCCGACTCAGGTTTGTGTTTGTCTAAGTCTAAGTTACTAAGAGCCAGTTATCAGACTGAATGAATCAGATTATGGACCAATACACCATGATCATGCCATCCATGCCTGCCAAAATGTATTTGCCATTGCCACCTTTCGGTTTTGTCTCAGTCATTCTGGAGTCCGGGAGTCTGGGTAGTGAATCCGTGAATCGTGACTACATGACAGTCTGTGCCGGGCGCGGTGTGCGTTTGTTCAGTTTGCTCCTGGCGCACATGTCGGTTGAGCCGAGCCCAACAGCGATGCATCTGCCCAGCTCTGGAGTGTGTGCTGTTCTTTCCTGTGTGCTTGTGACTGTGATGGATGAGCAGTGAGTGGCGTTGAGAGATCGACGTCAGTGTTGTGAGAGCGCGACAGTGTGATCAAGTGCAGTGTGGGCATTCGTTTTTTGTCTATGCCGGTCTATACCGTATACACATGACATGAGTGACCATGCTTAAACATAAGAGACATCGACAGTCGTCCAGCTTAGTGTCGATGAGCCCTGGGGCCCTGTGCACCACGTGACCACAGCCACAGGCTACCGACCGTCATGGAGTCTGCCGATTCGAAGGTGCAGGAACGCGAAGTGGCTCGCATCGAGGGCATCACGTGGGCTGGCTTCGCACAAGGTTCTATCTTCCAGGGCTTCCTTCCGAACGGACTTGGGTCGTTTGTGTATCAAATGGATGGCCTCAGGGTGATGGCTATGATGTCGGCGATGGAAGCTGCAGACCTTCACCAGACATTGTCGCTCGGGAGTGGGGACAAGGCCATCGACTTGAAGAACCCTGCCACCATCAAGGACTGACGGTTCGCATGCTTAGTAAGTCGACTTGAGCGTGCGTGCTGTGTCTTTCGTTGCTGCTTACATGAGACTCATGACACCCAGCTCGTAGGGCCGTTGTTTGGAGGAGGCCGCCGAAACCCTGTCAAACATGACGCCAGAGATTGCCGAGAAGTTTCCAAATTCGGCGGCATCCGGTCTGGCAGTTGGCTACGTCAACCAATTTGATATCCTCTACGTGCCGGCGGGATACCTTTTGGTGGAGAAGGTGCTAGGTGACACACCCGTCATCACCATGAGGGCGAGCAGCATGATTGTGTCCGTGGACAGCGCTGACTCATTGCATTACTTTGCAAGCCAATGCCTGTCGTGACCTGTGTGCATTTATGAGCTGTCAGTCAGTCGTGATTGTTTGTCTTGAGCTCCATTGCTTAGCGCAGTATGGACTCTGTGGTGCAGTGCAGCAGTGTAGCGTCGCATGTGTGCCTTGCATTTTGCATTGCCTTGCATTCCGTGACCAGTCGCCAGTCATTGTAGCGTGTTTCCAGGAATCCCGTCATGACTCTGATGCTGGGGATGCTTCGCTCGGCCACTTCGGGCCCCTCGGGCATTCTTTCCGCGGGTTCGGGTGCGGGTACATCTGGTGCTGGCAAAGGCGGCGAAGATGCACCAGGAGCTGAAGGGGACGATACGGATGGCGGTGATGCCGCTGGAGAACGCAAGGATGCAGATTCACAGTCAGCTAAGGACAATGATGATGGTGTCGGCGTCGATCGTCTGGAGGAGCTGATGGATGGAGCACCAGCACCGTGTGAGCAGGAAGATGTTCGGGATGCGGATGAGTCTCGCGCGCCGGAGACTGAACATGTTCGTGAGGAGGCACCGGCGACGGCGGTGAGTCTTCCGGCAGACCCCGCACGCGGAGGAATTGCTGCGACTGCTCAGGAGGAGACTATCCCGGCAACTGTCCCGCTAGAAGCTTCAGTTGCCAGTGACGCATTGGATGAAGTGGAGAACGATGGTGACAATTCCGACTCCAATGAAGATGCGGCCGAGAGTTGTGCAAAAGGCGAAGAAGGTGAGTCTCCCGGTAACGAGATGTCGTTGATAGACTGGGCCGTTCAGAGGAGAGAGAAAGCGGATGCAAGGACCGCCGCTGAGGCGGCGGTGAAGAGTTTGCAGACGTCGAAGCCATCGGGAGGGAGGGGCCGTGGCGGTGGTAAGTCATCCAAGGAGAAAGTCGCGGCAGTCAAGGCGAAAGCCAAGGCCAAGACCAAGGAACCCAAGGCTAAAGCGGCTACAGCGGCTACAGCCAAGGTCAAAGCTGCTGCAAAAAGGAATGCCAAAGGTGAACCCAAGCGCAAGGGCAAGACTAATGTCGCCGATGCCCCTTGGCTATCGCATAGGTGTGATGTCATGTGTGATCATGCAGATTCGATGTTGCTGTCGATGCTGAGCTGTATCCGAGGTACAGTGGACAAACACTATCAGTAAGACTGGGCCACTTGCGAAGTCCTTTCAGCGAAGCTGAAAAAGGACTGCCATTTTCAGTTAATTAGACGGTACGCTCCATATGCTCTCTGCCTCAAGAGTAGACGCGACACCGCGACACCGAGCATCGGCCGATAATGCAGTTCGGTGCCATAGGCCGCCGGCCATAGAACTATCTTATCCTGGGCAATCTGGCAATCTGCTGCTGCTCTTCAGGCGAGCCACGCGAACCTTTGTGCATTTATAGCGTCAGGAACCCGTGTATTGAATCAAGTATTGAAGACCGGGATGACTGATGGGTGCTTAGTGTTTAGTGTACCTCTTGTTTCATGCTTGGCACCCTTAAAGCCTAAAGCCCAACTACAAGACGATGGCGACGTTGGCGGCGTTCCTGCATTTAATCGCTCTGAGGAGCCGCTTACAATGTAAGCATTGCGAGTTGTTTCGAGTTTCGAAGGAATGCAGAGAAAACAAGCGCACATGCCGCACCGCAGCATGTTCGTTCAGCCTGAACCCTAAGCCCACCTAAACCCTAAACCCTCATCGACACAGCTCGCAATTCCGCTTGTCAGGCGGCGATGGATGAGCAACGTGTGATCCGCTGGCTGCTGGTTTAGGGTTTAGATTTAAGGCGTTCCAGTGTTCGGAGTTCAGGGTTTAGGGTTTTTTTTTCATGCTTAGGGTATAGGTTTTAGGAGTTTAGGGTTGCGGCATAGTTTAGGGGTTTAGAGGCTTTGGGTTTGGGGCTTTCGGGGTTTAGGGTTTTAAATTTTAAGATGTCGGGGTGATGATGTCGGGTTTAGGGCCGTTTAGGGTTTTAGGGGGTTTAGGAAGTTTAGGGTCTAGGGCGGTTCGGGGTTTGGGGGTTCTGGGACTAGGGTTTTAGGGCTTGAGGTTCAGGGTTTTAGTAGTTTGTTGTTCAGGGTTTAGGTTTTAGGTTTTTGGGGTTCAGGGTTTTAGGGGTGTAGGTTAGGATTTGTTTTTTTTTGTTGTTTGTTTCACGTGGGATCGGTTTTGATGATTAGGATTTAGGCTTAGGGATTTAGGGCTTAGGTCTTAGCGGCTTCAACTCGCCCCGAGATTGCTACGTGACATCGCATCAGCCAGTGGAAAATAAACCATAACTAGGCCTAGGCTATCTAACCCAATGTAGTCTTCTCGGACACGGAAGAGCTTCCAGAGCATGCTCGGGGTGAAGCTGTCTCACATGCAGAGATGCTCGGCGGTTCCAAGGGGCATTCTATGAAGGCTCACATCCCATTAGTACGTTTGCTGGAATTATTGCGAGGTCACTGTTTCACGCATACATGGTGCAACCGTTTCAGGCATTCCCGAGCATGCTGGAACTCCCCTCTGCCGTGCAGGGTACATTTCAGGCTTGTCGTGGAAAGCAGGCTTGCGCACCATCCAGTCATTCAACGAGGGTGGGGTCTGGGGTTGGCTTCGGTCTGATTGTTTAGGTTTTGGGGGTTTTAGGGCTTTGGGGTTCAGGCGGTTCGGGGTTTAGGAATCGTTGAACTCCATATAATCGAACCCTAACCGGTAAATCCTAAACCCTAGACTGTAAACCCTAAACCCCTTAATCACAGGCCCCTGAACGGTAAAACCAAAACTCCCTAAACCTTACATTCTGGAACACTGAATGGTAAACCCTTAACCCTGCTCTCTCTAGAATCGGAGCTACTGCAAAGGCGAAGGGAAGTTTCATCTATAGCCTACGGCATCTAATCGGTCACATTGGGCCGCAGGCCCCCGCCACTGCTGCAAAATCGGCGACGCTTGCTTTGTGTTGTGTGCGTTTGAATCTCCATATGCCATCATCAGTGCGGATAGTAACGGATGCGACGTTCGACAGACCTTAACTTCCATTTCCGAAATGAACTTTTCCTTAAAACCCCTGACCTATGAAAGTTAGCAACAGGGTTCATCATCATAACTCTAGGGAGAATAAGCGAGATTACAACAAGCTATGATGCCGCCATTGCCCTAGACCCTACAAACCGTAAACCCCTAAAACCCCTAAACCCTAAACCATAACCCCTAAAACCCCTAAACCCTAAAAACCCTAAAAACCCTAGAACCCTAAACCCTAAACCCCTGCCCCTTTTTTGGGCAGGTCAAGACGGTCCGCCGCAGCATCATCCAGGGCGCCTGCGAGGGCGCAACGCACATGCTGGCCTTGCCCCAGGCGCCGGGGAAGTTTATGGGTGCTTTGGGTTGTTTTTTTCAGGGTTGTTTTAGTGTTTTTTTGGGTTTTTTGTTTTTAAATGTTTTTTTTGGGTTTATATGGTTTTGTTTAGGG